CTCCATGGGAATGTGGAAGTAATTTTTTATGTGTTTAGTTGCGTACGTAGTTAGCTCGGTTACTCTGTAGTTTTTGGTTCAGAGAGAGTGAGAGAAAGAGTTATAAAACTGCCACATGGAGTGAGGGAGGGAGAAGGCATAAGAGAGGGAGGAGAGGAAGGAGGAGGGGAAGATGACGGTGAGGCCTCTATGCTTTATTTTCCTTGAAAGCTTCCTGAAAACCACAGACACATAGTACAGAATTCCCCTCACAGTGGGAGAGAGGTGGGCCAAGGGGGAGCCAGTTTTAAAGAGAGAAAACACACACACACATACATAGGCAAAAACACACACATACACACACACAGAGACACACAGAGAGAGAGAAAGAGAGTGTTACGAGAGAGAGCTTAGAAAGAGCCGTCAGTCTAACACCTTGGCTTTGATGGGTTTGAACTCTGAGGGAGACTTCTATAGGAAAGTGGAACACCACGAGTATTGCAGGGGACGGGGAGGTGGGCTGTAGGGTAGTTGCGTTAATCCAATGTACAATGTATTTCAACTTGATTGACAGATCCCCCAAGCTTCTCCCTTGGCCCCCTGCTGCTGGATCCTGAACGACAGTTGAGGACAAGTGATGAAGTGGGTATTTTGGTGAGGCTTGCACACTGGGAAAAGGTAAAGGGTCATCCTCCATAAATGAGACTGTTAGCGCTGTGATTTCAGCTTAGCATGGACACATGGAACCATGTTAAATCACTAGTGGCTGGACCAAAGCAACAACATCCCTGTACTTGTGAAATGTGTCTCTGATTCAGACTGTAGAAAATTCCCAGTAAAAAGCCACCAAACTAAACTATATTGAACATTTTTACATTTACATTTTTAGTCATTTAGCAGACGCTCTTATCCAGAGCGACTTACAGTTAGTGCATACATTATTTTATCGAACCCACAACCCTGGCGTTGCAAACGCCATGCTCTACCAACTGAGCTACATCCCCTGCCGGCCATTCCCTCCCCTACCCTGGACGACGCTGGGCCAATTGTGCGCGCTGCCCCATGGGTCTCCCGGTCGCGGCCGGCTACGACAGAGCCTGGATTCGAACCAGGATCTCTAGTGGCACAGCTAGCACTGCGATGCAGTGCCTTAGACCACTGCGCCACTCGGGGCCTAGAACAAAAATATAAACGCAACATGCAACAGTTTCAAAGATTTTGCTGAGTTACAGTTCATATAAGGAAATCAGTCAATTGAAATAAATGAATTTGGCCCTAATTTATGGATTTCACATGACTGGGCAGGGGCGCAGCCATGGGTGGGCATAGGCCCACTCACTTGGAAGCCAGGCCGACCCACTGGGGAGACAGTCCCAGCTGGTCTGCGGTTGTGAGGCCGGTTGGACATACTGCCAAATTCTCTAAAACAACATTGGAGGCAGCTTATGGTAGAGAAATGAACGTTCAATTCTCTGGCAACAGCTCTGGTGGACATTCCTGCAGTCAGCATGCCAATTGCACGCTACCTCAAAACTTGAGACATCTGTGGCATTGTGTTGTGTGACAAAATTGCACATTTTAGAGTGGCCTTTTACTGTCCCCATTACAAGGTGCACCTGCGTTTTCATGCTGTTTACTCAGCTTCTTGATATGCCACACCTGTCAGGTGGATGGACTATCTTGACAAAGGATAGAATGCTCTCTAACAGAGATGTAAACATATGTGTGCACACATTTTGAGAGAAATAAGCTTTTTGTACATATGGAACATTTCAGGGATCTTTTATTTCAGCTGAGGAAACATGGGACCAGCACTTTACATGTTGCGTTTATATTTTTGTTCAGTGTAGTTTCAAGTTTTAATGTCACATGCACAAGTACAGTGAAATGCCTTTCTTGACAGCTCTTACCCCAACAATGCAATAATCTATAACAATATAATAAATAAAATAAGAAACTAAGTAGGACTATGACTAATCCAGCAATAATGTTTGGTATCCAGTAAGTGCTATGTGCAATGAATGTGTTTTGTAGTTTAATATTTTTTAGTTGCGTTCTTTCCCTAGTTCCACAGATTCCCGTAGTAAAGTAAGCGCTAACGTAACACTTCTTACACTGGGGAAACAAAGGGGAACTGAAAAGAAAAACACCCCTTAGGCTTAATGGTGTCACACGCCACCTAGTGGGCTAAATAAGCACTTGGAATAAGTGCACTTTAATCATTGACTCCAACACAAGACGAGACATGCTATTACTCCATATATGTCAAGAACATCACTGATTTCAATCTGGATATCAGGTTGACTGAATATGTATGTGACCTAGAACTCGGGGGGGAATTGTCTCTTGACATTAATCCCAATGTACATGTTCTTATCTGACAGTTGGCAGATGTATTTCAACCTTTCCAACTAATTTTTCCATCTCAATTGACCCATTTTTCTATTTCAATATGTGTGTTCTCTTTCCCGCTCTGGCAGCAATGTCAAGTGAACATAACCCACATTTACAGACTTTCTTTCGATACTTTGTAAAACTAGACTTTCTCATTTGGCATCATCCAAAAGAGCGGTCATTATCATAAAAATCATTTCTGACAACAACAAAAAATGCATGACTAAAAGTTGTGTGGTTTTGTCAAATAAGGGACCAGTATGACAAACCCTCTCCACTCAAGCCGAGAGGGGATGGAAAGTCTGTCAGCAAGTTGTAAAGGTCCTCTAGCTAAAAGGGACTCAACTGATAGGAAAACTCTAATTTTACCAACAACAAAATTCCAATAAGTCTTCCTCCTCCATTTCCCCTAACTAATACTCCCCATGACAATATCCAAAGACATTGTTCCCAAACAACCTTTATATTATATTCAGTGGACCATGTGTGCATCCCAAATGGTACCATTTTCCCTATACAGTGCACTACTTGGTTCGAGTTTAGAATGGGCATCTTGGGGTGAGATGTAAAACAATTGATTATCATCCATTTACTGGATTTTGTCCTTGAGATGTCAGTGCTTGAAGTGGATAATTGCTGGTTAATAGATCCTATATTTCTAAGCCGCTAACCCCATGTCGGATGTGGATAACCAGATAGATATAGCAGACAACCACCGAGACTTAAAGGTTATTGGTGAATTATTCAATGTGTGAATATGGTTGATTCAACATACAGTACATTCTTCCCAAAGAGAATGTCTAACTAACATAACAATCAACACTTGTGTCACCTGTACAAAAGGTTTACCATGCTGCAAACCTGTTAATCTAAGCTGAATTGTTAGGTTTCAACCCAATGGCAAGTCTACATTAAAGAGAACAAGAAAAATCAAAGTACAAACATTTATTATAAATTTTCACATTTACAAGCACAACCATGACCTGAATAAATACTTGAGAGGATGGCTATGGGGTCAGGTCACATCTTTCATGAATTCAAACCGGAACTTGAAGGAACGATTACCTTCAGACATCCTCAACTAGTTAAGTTCTTTCCTCATTTCCCCCACCCCATACTACTGAAGTTCCCTACCACCACTTTGGACTTCCCAGATGACACTACTCACATCCACCTCTTCACTCTGAGAAGCACCACTGGGGAACGGTGGGAATCGGACAGCCTTGGGGTCCCCTCCTTTACCTTGGGGTGACTCCAACCCTCTGGGTGTTGGTTGATCCTTGTCCAGTGCACCTCCATCTTGGCCTGACGCTGCAGTATTGGATGTTGACTGCACACTTTGTCTGGAGCTTCCCCTGGGTTGGATTCCGCTGAAAGAGGCACTTCCTAGGATATCAGCAAACTGGATAGCCTTGAACCTCATGGGGTGGGGCTTGGCCGGTCGGGAGGCAGTGTCGTTGGAGGAAGAGGTGTTGTCGTTGGAGGGAGAAAGACGATTTTGGCCCTTCACGCGCTTCCCCTTAACACGTTTGCCCTTTACAACGGTGCTGGTCGGTTTGCGACCCTCTGGGAGTTCAGTGGTGCTTGGGTCTGGTTGAACTTGGACTCTGGGAGGGCTTGGGTGGACACTGGGGGCAGAGGTGGGTGCAACTGGGGGTGGATGCTCTTTGCTGGTCGGAGGCACAGTTTGTGCACTGAGATCAGCATCCTTGTCCTGGGTTGATATTGCTTTGCTTATAGGTTTTTGGAAGCCCATGAAAGCATAGCTGTTCTGGCTTTTTGGGAGTTTACCAGATATGAACCTAAAGGGATTGCTTGCCATTTCATTGCTTTCTGAGTCATGTGGGGGAGACTTGGGGTCTTCGTAACTAGAGTGATCATCCACAGTTTTGTGAAATGAGTCACTGCTTTGAGAAGTTTCAATACTGTGGACATTTTGGCTCTGGCTGGCTGTTGTAGTAATGGAGGTGGGCTGGATTTCAGCAGGGGCAGATACGTGGCTGCCTGAGGGCCTAGTTTCACCTGGGAGCTTTATGCCCAGAACACCTTCATTCTGTTTGGACCTGGAACCTTTGAGCCTTCTGTAAATGACAGACTCAAACATGTTGAATCTAGCGTCAGGCTTGAAAGGGGCTGAGCTTGTTGGACCAGGTTTAGGCTCTCCTGCAGTCAAACTGTCATGGAAATCATTGTTGCTGGGGAGACTACAGGTTGGCTGAATGCATTTTAGACTCTCACTCTGGGGAGATTGTAGTTGGGTTGGGGCTGGTTGGAATCCCTTGAAAACATGGTCGGTTTTAGCATTGTTATCCTTGCTAGGTGTGTATCTACGAAACCAAGGCCTACCAGCTCTCGGGGTAGAGCGAGGCATGTTGGTGGTAGTCTGCACTTCTGAAGAAGACTGGACATTGGAGGCATGTAGGCTGTCAGAGGCTAGGTCGTCTTCTATGGACATAAGTTGGACTTCTTGTGGGCCTGATTTGAACATCCTTGGGGCTAGAGTATCGCTTGGGGCAGAGGAAGTTGTAGTGGAAGCTACTTGAAGTCTAGGGGCAAAGCTATACTTTTTGTATACAGCGGGATACCCACTGACAGAACCCATTTTCATGCCCCTATGTGTAACATGACTATTTCTCCAGCCAGTACCCTGACTCTTTGCAGTGTTTGTGTTGACTGAAGGTCTGATAGCAACAGAACGTATGTCATCTTTACTCACGATGGGAGCCAATGTTGTCTCTGGATCTTCATATTGGAACCCTCCGAGTGTATTGACATCCATGGATCTTCCAGGTTTGTAACCGCCTGTGGCTCCCCCGTTCTGAACACTGGATGAGCTTCTTAGCCCATGTTTCTTCCAAGGGACATAGCTACTCTTGGTTTTCAAAGACTGGTCAGGGGCAGGACTATGAGGTGCAGTTACTCTCTCTGCAGGCTCAAAGGGACTTTGGGTGGGTTGAGTTGCAGTGGGGGCTATTGTGTTCCAGAAAGAGCCAAATCTAATAAGAGGTTGAATTCTGCTGAAAGCACTTTTAGCCTGAGTATCAGCCTTTTCACCAGGGGAATAGCTACTAGGGCTACCTCCACTTTGGGAAAAGTTAGCACTGTGATGGAAGGGTTTGGTGATACTAGAAACATGTTGGGCTTCACTGGTAGCATCTACTTTAGAAGAAGCCGATTGGCTCAGAGTTGGTGGGTGCACTGGTGCTTGTCGTCCATTGGAAGACTTAAAGGATGTAGGGTACGACTGAGAGCCTATGTAGCCATAGCCCCCTTGGACATGTGTGGATCTTCCAGACCCATGAACACTGGGGTTTCCTTCACTTTGGGTAGCAGAGGTGGCACCATGTCCACTAATGGTCTTCATTCCTTCACTAGGGCCCTTGTGAGGGGTTTCAGAGGTGCTGGAAGTGGGTTGGGATCCCCCGAAGAGGTAGGAAGACAGAAACGTTCTGTATTTGGATTTCTCATTGTTACTCACAGGGTTTTCAGCCTGTTGGGCTGGGATGGGGTTGTATTCAACAACAGGAGAGCCAAATATGTCCCTGGCAGGTTGGAAACTACTGGTGGCAACATGGCTACTTTGGATCACAGGGTTTTTGATGGAATAAAAGGTTTCAGAGGAACCCCAGGTTCTGGGGACAATTGGGCTACCTAGGCTACTAGAAGGGTAGGTACAATAATGGACAGTCTTACTAGGCACAGAGCTGCTTGGAAATTTGCTAGATTGACTGTTGGGGGGCTCAGACTCGTCGCCATCAGGGGAACCTTCTCTCTGGTTGGCCACAACGTTGTTGGTCCCAGGTTGGACTTCCGGTCTCGGGCTAAAGACCATCTGAGCCTGGTCAGGTTGGACAATCCTGGGGACCGGTTGGCTTGGGCTCAGACTAGGGGGAAGTGTGTACGGGTTGTAGAGAGGCCTCCAGCTTCTGGGGCTCTCTGCACCGAGATAACTTCCCTGTTCGTGTACTGCTCTCCTGCTTCTGCCTACAGGGAAATCAATAGAAGTGCAATTCAGTATTTTGAATAATTGATGCATTTCATTTTTTTTAAATGGACTAATTACACTGAACAAAAAACGCAACATGTAAAGTGTTGTTCCCATGTCCTGAAATAACAGATCCCAGAAATGACAAAACAAAGCTTATTTCTCAAATTCTGTGCACAAATGTTTACATTCCTGTGAGCATTTCTCCTTTGCCAAGATAATCCATCCATCGGACAGGTGTGGCATATCAAGAAGCTGATTAAACAGCATGATCATTACACAGATGCACCTTGTGCTGGGGACAACGAGAGACATCTGTGGCATTGTGTTGGTGTGACAAAACTACACATTTTAGAGTGGCCTTACGTTTTTAGTGTGCAGTTGGCATGCTGACTGCAGGAATGTCCACCAGAATTGTTGCCAAAGGTTTGAACATTAATTTCTCTACCATAAGCCGCCTTCGTCGTTTTAGAGAATTTGGCAGTACGTCCAACAGGCCTCAGAACCACGCCAGCCCAGGCCTCCACATCCGGCTTCTTCACCTGCGGGATCATCTGAGACCAGCCACATAGACAGCTGATGAAACTGTGGGTTTGCACGATCAAAGAATTTCTGCACAAACTGTCAGAAACCATCTCAGGGAAGCTCATCTGCGTGCTCGTCGTCCTCACCATGGTCTTGGCCGGACTGCAGTTCGGCGTCGTAACTGACTTCAGTGGGCCAATGCTCACAGTCAATGGCCACTGTCTCACTGGAGGTCTGCTCTTCACAGCTGAATGCCGGTTTCAACTATACCGGGCAGATAGTGTGGGTGAGCGGTTTGTCAATGTTGTGAACAGAGTGCCCCATGGTGGCGTTGTGTGTGGGTAGGCATAAACTACGGACAACGAACACAATTACATTTTATCGGTGGCAATTTGAATGCACAGAGATACCGTGATAAGATCCTGAGGCCCATTGTCATACCATTCTTCAGGATAATGCACAGCCCTATGTCACAAGGATCTGTATACAAAATGTCCCAGTTCTTCCATGGCATGCATACTCAGACATGTCACCAATGGAGCATGTCTGGGATGCTCTGAATCAACGTGTACGGCAGCATGTTCCAGTTCCTGCCAATATCCAGCAACTCTCCTCTTCAATGGCTGTGCAGTGGGACAACATTCCACAATCAACAGCCTGATCAACTCTATGCGAAGGAGATGTTGCGCTGCATGAGGCAAATGGTGGTCACACAAGATACTGACTGGTTCTGATCCACGCCCCTGTCTTTTTTTTTTTTTAAGGTATCTGTGACCAACAAATGCATATCTGTATTCCCAGTCATGTGAAATCCATTGATTAGGGCCTAATGAATATGTACATTTATGACCGATTTCCTTATATGAACTGTAACTCAGTATAATCTTAAAAAATTGTTGCAGGTTGCATTTATTTTTGGTCAGTGAACTAAAACCTCAATCAACCCATATCAATTGCATTGCTGAATTAAATGGACAATGTGTTATAAGTAGTGCTCAGAGTTTTTCCCTAATCAGATTATGTGGACAGAATAAAAAATGCTGGGTCCTAAATATTATATTTTAAAATGTGTTTGTCCTTACATTTAATATGTATATGGGTCACTAATAAAGTAACATAAGGCAGCTATGGAGCATGTTGAGGTTTTCAAATATCTGCTCAAGGCAAACAATTTCATGTCACAAGATAGCTTGAGGTCAAGTATCGACAATTTGATAAGCACTCAAGTCATGTAAAGATAGATTCCGAGCAATAACCCTGGGCACCTGGATATTGTTAACCAGTAGCCCAACTTACATATTTAAGTATATATGACAAACAAAAACTATAAACTTTATGGACATGGGTATATATGACCCAACCTCAAGCCATTGTTCACTTTTTGTACAATAAGATAAGCAGGATACTGTTATTTATCTTACCCCTTGATGAATATGAACAACTGACATCCACAGCAGCTATCATCAGACACATGAACAGAAGTCTGTATTACAAAAATAATAAAGAATGATTTCATGAGTGACAGTTACATCACTGAAAGATAAGCCAATGTCTCAGTGCTATCACAGTACACAAAGTATTGGGCAATAATCTGTTGAGGCTACTTGATTAAGAAAACCTTTAAACATACCTAGAATGAAGTCTTAGAGTCCTTGACATTATTGCTGGCCATCAACCGACAGACATGCAGACAATACAACACAATCAGATTGTAGAAGATTGTAACTGACAGAGTCCAAGGTAAAAGCCTTGTTTTATCAACCTGTTGTTCCGCTAGCTTTCAAATAGCACGCTGTGGTCACAGATCCCCTTGATTAGCATATTAGATGTGCCTGTTGCTATCTCAACAGGTGCATCTAATTTGGGACCCATTCAGAAGAGTGCAGCAATACAGTATGTTTCAATAGTGATGTATTGTGTAGATTAAAACATATTATTGTCTGCATAGAATAGGCCAGGGAATCATGTTAGCTCTGTTACATTTCTATTTACATCCTGCAACTTTCTGAATGTTTCACCACGTTGAACACAATCCCGCCCCATGTGAACACAGGTGCAACCATTTGTGTTGATTGCATCCTCCAGAATTTTTTGGGAAAATTACACCTGGTTCATAAAATTAAAAAGGCATTGTGAAATATTTTTTTCTCGATTATTGTATAGGCCTATATGGCATGAGCTTATGTGGTCTTATATTCTAAATAATGGTAAACCAAGCAGATGTTCAGAACTGTATTGTTTATTAACTTATTCTCAGAGAAAAAGAAAGCATCAGTTACTACTGCAACCAATTCATCCCAGTGATAGATGAAAATGAACAAAACAATAACATGTTTTACGTTGAATTATAACTAAACAAATGTGCAAAATATCACATACATACAATCAATAAAAGTGAATTAAATTAATTACATTCAAATAAAGTGTTATCTTTGAGCACCAACAATATTCAACACATTCTAATCTTTGGAAATGGAAAGCCATAGGCTATATCAAAGCACACAAAAAATACAATTTCAGATAAAAACCCATTTCATTCAGTAGCCTAATGGCTTCAAAGAATAGCCTATAGTTTTGTTTTTTAGGCCTTTACAATTCTGTTTCTATTATGTGTTTGTTTGGTCCCACCAATTATTACATGCAGGTGAGACGAAATGGACACATAGGCCTAGTTGGCTATTATCTGGAATACATATTCCTGCTTGCTCCAGCTTCCAACTGGACATGCCAGTCTTCTACAGGCTCCTGTAGTGTAGGCTCCTGGACGGCAACGCCCCCTCTCTGATCAATCAGGTGCAACTGAGGTGTGTTCAGTTCGCTTGAACGTTTGCTATGTTGCGGAACGGTTTGTACCGAATGACACGTTTCCCAAAAACGTTCTTGAACAGACTGAGGTACGCTGGCTCCCGTTTGGTGGGTGTGGCGAGGTGTGGTCTGAAGCAATGAGTGACGTTTTTAAAAGGGCAGTGGCCATGTGGACAGTGTTCCCCAACCCGGTTTTTCAACTGGTCGTTCAGTTCAGCACCGGTTCTGTTCAATTGAACATGCCAGAACGTAAAAAGCCCTGATGACTTTCCAGCCAATGAAGTCCGCATCAAATTATATAGCATGACATCATGAGGTCTCGTAGCTCCTCATCAGTCATACAATCTGTAGGGGGAAAATAAAATATGAGAATACAATAAATAGGCAAGGCTTCTTTGGCCAGGCTATAATAGCCTACCTTGGTCCGAGCATAATTCATTAATGAAACTGCCATAAAAGTAAGCTATGAAAAGAAACTACCGGAATATGAAGTCATGTTGTGGTTTTGATAACTAAAGAGTATTGCAATAGAATAGGGCTACTTACGCGCTCTCCGTTGGGCATGATTCCCAGTGAATTTGCCCCAGATGCGCCTCAGCGAACGGCGGAACCTTCCACCTCTGGAACCCGAAGAGGAGTCCCTTTCCTCGGCTGAGTTCTCATGAGGAGTCTCGTTGTGGTCATCCTCCTCCTTCCCCTCACTATCCTCCTCGTCGTCTGTCATGCTTTCCTCGAGAACGCCAGATACCACCATGCACTCTAGAACACTTTCGTCTACTGGAAGCGCTGCCCTCACTTTACCCGATACAGAGGTCGGGTATCGGCAGAGTGGGCAAACAATTGTCTTGTCCTGCCGCGAACATTCCTTCTCGGATTCCACTTCACATACCGAGGATCGGGAAAGAATCACCAGACAGTGCTCACAAAAGCTGTGTTTACACTGTAACTCACGAGGACACCGACGACCGGTGTTGTAGCTTCGGTAACAAATTCTGCACTCAAGTTCTGAACACATTTTTGTTTCTCTTTGGGTGCGGTTTCGTTCAACGAGAATGAACTGTCGGAATGAGTAGGCTATGAGGCTACAGTGTGTTTCGACCCTGTTTATATTTCTTAGCGTGGGAGGGACTTACACTTGACAGATTGCCCAAAAAAAATAATAACTGATGACTAATCTTTGGGAAATAGTGATGTCATTAAAGAGATGCGATGTTGACGTGCTAGTCGGAACTAGAAAACTCTGACATTTCCAACTCGTTAACTGGTTGTAGTTATACACATGGCACGTTCAACCAGTTAGCAAGTCAGAAATGTCAGAGTTTCCTAATTCTGACTGGCACATGAACGCAAAAAAATTAATTTTGATCTTAACCTTATACCTAAACCTAAATTATCAGTGTAAATAAGATTAAGACGATAAATTGTAGAAATGGGCGGGGTTTAGACATAATTATGACCTTGTGACTGTGTTATCTAGTGATGACCTTCTCACATTGTTGAGCAATAACCCTCCTCCCACACATCCTTTTTACCGTATATGGAAGAAAGTTAGTGGGCCATTCTGCTACAGTTTGGCCAATGTCTGTCCGATATTCACCCACATTTCCCAGATATAACAGAGAACAATGAATGTAAGACAAAGTGCTTGCGTCAAGAAGGTTTCCTCTCTTTTGAAATAGTGATTTTGATATTATTCTGTGTCAAACTGTCTCCTGTCTGTCTGTGTCTTTAAACAACAGAACTGCGTTATGGGGAGAAGATACTAGTAAAAATTCCAGATCCCTTAGTAAAGGGCTGTTTCTTGATGGGCTGTTTCTTGATGACATCAGACTACTTTGTAACTGCACCAAACTGGACAGAACAGGAGTGAGCCATGACTGCAAGGAGCTTGGACTGTCAACTTCCTATGCTGTCCCATAGCCCATCTGCTAATACCTGTCTAGCCTATAGATAAACCCATATCAGTCACCTAAGATGACCCATATGTCTCACTGTTGTCTACTCTCGTGACTCACACTGGCTCAGATACCCTTTGAATTCCATCTCATTTGATATGCCCTTGATTATTCTAAGCATAATAGAAACTTTGATATCAAACAAGCTGATAGTGAACAACGTGCTGTGCAAGAATCTATTATGAAAACACAACAACATGCTATTGTTTCTGTTGCTATTGCCTACTCACTCTACCGGCTTTACCCTTCCCAGAAATCACAGCACCTCCCTCTTACTGACACTCTCCGGGTGTATCTAGTCGAAGACATGACGTCAGCCTTCCGTCTCCACGCTAATCCTCCAGACAAAGCCCTATCAGGTGACCCAGTAACTCTTTTCATTGTGATTTCCTCCCCCTACAGTCAAAGCCAAGAGTAACAGGATGATAAGACATCTGAAATAATCTAGACAGTACTCTTTGATGTGTTATTGTGATCTGAGGAACTATTTTCCTCTGTGCCTGCCACCTGTAGATTGACTTACTGTAAAAAGGGATACTGTATTTATGTAAAGAACAAACAGTTTAGAACTTGTACTGAACAGAAAAAGAGGTATAGGGCTGGTTTCCCGGACCCAGATAAAGTCTATTCCTAGACCAGAAAAAACTCTCAATGGAGATTGAGCATTGAGCAGCATCCTTTTTAGTCCAGGGATAGGCTAAATATGGGTCTGTTAAACCTGTCCATAACCTTTACAAACAAAATACAAGTATACAAAATGTACATTTTCCTTTACTTTCTCTTTCTCAATCCCAGCTCAACCCATGTAATAACTAATTGACACACTGTTTAACCTTTGTCATGTGATTGGGAAGTACCTAGATTCCTTTCTTCATTTGAAATAACACCAACATGGGGTTTCTAAAGTTGAAGTTGATCTCAGATAAGGAAATGGGGAAAGCTGGATCTCTGTTTTGAAAGTGAGTCATCCTTTAGTGAGTGAAAGAGTGCAACGTCCAATCTCACACGTTCATTATGGTGACTCAATGAGATAAGACCCACTGACTGTCATACCCCACCAGACACGTCACTATGGGTTTCTTCACGGTACCCAAACCAAGTTTAGCTTTGAAAAACAGATACAAAAATACATACTGTATCCTCTCATCTAATGTAACTGCACTGTATATGAATATGTATATATGAATAGTGTGTAAATATTCATATATCATTGTGACATACATACACACACACGCACACACACCATACCACAGCACGAATGCACAGACACAAACGCACACACAATATTTGTGAAATTGGCAAAGAGTGATCTGTTCGTGTCTTATTTTTCGCAACCTAACTGTATAGGGAACTTATTTGACTGCATACATGCATGATCAGAGACATGTTTTTCTGTAGATACACTATATATACAAAAGTATGTGGACAACCCTTCAAATTAGTGGATCCGGCTATTTCAGCCACACCCGTTGCTGACAGGTGTATACAATTGAGCACAGAGCTATGCAATCTCCATAGACAAACATTGGCAGTAGAATGGCCTTACTGAAGAGCTCAGTGACTTTCAATATGGCACCGTCATAGGATGACACATTTCCAACAAGTCAGTTCATCAAATTTCTGCCCTGCTAGAGCTTCCCTGGTCAACTGTAAGTGCTGTAATTGTGAAGTGGAAACGTCTAGGAGCAACAACGGTTCAGCCGCGAAGTGGTAGGCCACACAAGTTCACAGAACGGGACTGCCGAGTACTGAACCGCGTAGCACGTAAAAATCGTCTGTCCTCGGTTGCAACGCTCACTACTGAGTTCCAGCCTCTGGAAGCAACGTCAGCACAAGAACTGATCATTGGGAGCTTCATGATATTTCCATGGCCGAGCAGCAGCACACAAGCCTAAGATCACCATGCGCAATGCCAAGCGTCAGCTGCAGTGGTGTAAAGATCGCCACCATTGGACTCTGGAGCAGTGGAAATGCGTTCTCTGTAGTGGTGAATCACGCCTCACCATCAGGCGAATCTGGGTTTGGTGGATGCCAGCAGAACGCTACCTGCCCGAATGCATAGTGCCAACTGTAAAGTTTGGTGGAGGAGGAATAATGGTCTTGGGCTGTTTTTCATGGTTTGGGCTAGGCTCCTTAGTTCCAGTGAAGGGAAATCTTAATGCTACAGCATACAATGACATTCAAGATTATTCTGTGCTTCCAACTTTGTGGAAACAGTTTGGGGAAGGCCCTTTCCGGTTTCAGCATGACAATGCCCCCGTGCACAAAGCGATGTCCATACAGAAATGGTTTGTCGAGATCGGTGTGGAAGAACTTGACTGGCCTGCACAGAGCCCTGACCTCAACCCCATCGAATACCTGTGGGATGAATTGGAACGCCGACTGCGAGCCAGGCTTAATTGCCCAGCATCAGTACCCGACCTCACTAATGCTCTTGTGGCTGAATGGAAGCAAGTCCCCGCAGCAATGTTCCAACATCTAGTGGAAAGTCTACCTAGAAGAGGGGAGGCTGTTATAGCAGCAAGGGGGGAACAACTCCATATTAATGCCCATGATTTTGGAATGAGATGTTTGACGAGCAGGTGTCCACATACTTTTAGTCATGTAGTGTAATTCACAGAGGATGTTAGCATGTGTTGCAATAGGTTTCCTGCGGTCTTGCAGACATACAGATAGAAAGACAAAACATCCTATGAGTTCCATTAGACCAGCACCTGTAACTCAACTAGTTATCAGGTTGCTGCTTTTTGAACTGATACCGAAATCATAAAAACATGTATTCCCCTCTTGAATGACATCCACAGTAATTTGACTCACAACAGTCATTCTGTCATTCTGAATACCCTATACATTGACAAAGACAATGTACATACAAATACTGTACTGTCAGGACAGTGAGAAGTGTCAGGGTTAGAGGAGGTGGCTACTACCTCCGTTCCGTGTCCCTGGTTACCAGTTACCACCACATAACCTAGAGATTACTTAATGTCAGGGCAACCAGGAGACACCCCTGGCTCCAGTAGGAGAGAGGAGAGGATGTCAAGGGATGGGTAAAGCAAGAGAGGAGAGGAGATATGGAGTGAAAGAAAACGAAGAGAGGGAGAGCGAGCCAGTCTAAATAAGAGGTAGAGAGGTAGATTAACAAAGTGTGTCTGTTTACATTTCTACTGTAAATGAGAACCATGATGTGTCGGGTGAGAATTTTGGTAGTGGAGAGGAACGTCAAAGCTCACCCTTATCTGAGGAGTTTGTGACAGCGGGTGTATGAGGCGGTAAGTGTTTCTTATCTTCCCACACACTACATGGTGATGAATTGTGGGTGAGTTTAACTCCCATGGGGTTTTGATATCAACTGACCTTCATACAGTAGATATAAAGTATGCCAAGATATTAATACACAGGCTATCGTAACAGTTATATGACATCATGCAGTATGTATTTTTTGCCATTATGTTGTAATGCTGCACTGTTTACCATTTCTGACTGTGGATGTCTAGGAGTTGGAGAAAGTCATTAATTATTGTCAACCAAATGACACAGGGTAAATGTCGACCAAATGTGTCTGGAATGTGTATTGAGGGTTATAGAACCAAATCAATGATTGTATGACATGTACAGATAGACCAATTCAATGGAAACGTGTTTCTTACAATCTCTGCTCCTGGGGCCCAATACAAAATAGACCACTATTGCTAGGCAACTGCCCTGTTGAGTACGGCTTGCCTTGCTCTATCCCATGTGAATGGAGAGTTGGGAGTTGGTACTAGAATAGTAGGCTACTGTTTATGAAAGTACAGTT